ACGCAAGCTTCAGACGAAGAAGTGAATGATGTGTGCTCCCGGCGCCTATTTATACTATAGTCACACCGGTAGTGACGTCATGGCTGTCGCCGGCCAACGAGTTGGTGTTTTTTCAATGTATGCTTCAGACACGGGTCATGACGAGGCATTCCCCATAGCGACCCCTAGAGGACGCAGTGTCTCGTTCCCTACTCAGGGAACCATGGTTACATAAGTAACCTGAGACGTTTTTACAATACTTTAACTCATCAAAATAAGTTTAACTTTAATAATAAGTAACTTTTTTAATTATATGAAATTCAACTTGAGTTTTAAAGTCAGTTTAATGTATTTTAAGTTAAAATGATTCATACAATCAAGTTGATTATACTTAAAAAATTTAAGGCAACAACTAAACATAAGTTTTTAAGTTGAAATAGGTGGAATTTGTTTTTGCAGTGTGTTATGATTTGATTCCTACTGGGAAAGTGAGGAAAAAAGCAAATAAAAACAGGTTTTACTTTTTTTTACCTTACATTTTCTGTCTCTGCCGGTACAAATAACCTGAGGCTGTTTCTCATTCAGAGAGATGATGCATGATCGTGCTGATGTAGTGAACTAGGCTGGATAGTTTTCCTCACTTCAACACCGCCAGAATACAAATAGCTCCATCCAGAGAGGCGAATGGGTCTGCAGTCAGTAAAACAGCACTATGTGTTAGTATTCATGCTTTGAGATGATTTACAAGCAGGTAGTCCAATGTTAGGCTAATGTGCACAAAATAGGAAAAGACATACAAGTAGTAGATTTATGCTATAGGCTAGATTCGAGAGGAGAACAGCACAGGTTTTACCCATTGGCAAAATGAGTAGCAGTAAATCATACTGCTAACTACGCTAGTTAACAAGAACAGTGCTTAAAAGAGAGATGAAGGGAATCATGCATCACTGCTCTTGCACTCATTGTCCTATAATTGCATCATTTGCACAGTAACAGCTCAGAGTCTAGAGAAACACTTTTCTTTTTTAGATATTTTAAGAAAAACTAAGAATAGAAACAACTATGTTTGTTACTAAACTGCTAAATATTGTTGTCTTTGGTGTTATTATTGACATGAGCATCTGCAGTAAATAGATAAATCAGTCACCTGTCCTTATGTTCAGCCTGCAGCCACCGAAAATCTTTACTTCACCTATCCATTGCCTCCTTGAAATAGATGGTGTCGATATGAATATGCTTGAGTCATTTATAGTGTTCCTGGGAACTACCAACTTTAAAAATGGCCAAGAAGTGTCAACAGAGAGCGCTTATCCTGAGACAGTAAAATAGTAATACAGCTTCCCAATTCACATAGTCCTCCTAAATAAAATGCAACAGCACAACATCCAGGTTACAGAAGTAAAAATACAATTAGTTTTTTTTACCATATAGGCTAATTCTATGTATAAATCTTTCAAAGCAGTCCTTCAACTGCTGCAGGCAACTTATTTACAGTATATATATATTTTTCCCATTTGTATTGGCCATTTAATTCGATTGTCATTTGCTTTATGAGTAGAGTAGTTCATTCCCTCGTAAAAATGTTTAAGGACAAAGTACCCTTTTCTTTTTATACAGTATGTGAAAAATGTGTTTTCATGCTTTAGGCTAAATCAAGGTTTGTAAAGTTTTTTTCATCTTGTTTTGGTTCATGGCTTAGTGAAGAATTCTGAAAATCCCTATGGAGAAAATAAATGGAAAATTACTAACAGATCCAAGGCTGCAGAAAAACCCCCACACAACTGTTGATTTCACGCAGAGTTGATGGCACTGTCCATCTGAGCCGTCTTAGAGGCCTATGCCTGAATAGTAGTCTAGCTACCCATTGCTAAATCTTATTGGATTGTTTAATATAGTTTAAAATGACCCAAATTTTTTAATGTAATCTGGACAACTTTAAAGGTGCTAGGCTATAACCTTGCCTATGATTTCTCTTATGATGTGGCACGTGATCGTTGCATCTCAGACCAAAACAAATTTGCCATACATTCGCTTTCCGTTCATCCACACAAAAATCTAATTTTTTTTTTCTGTGAGGGGTAGGTTTGGGGGGAGAGTTAAGGTAAGAGGATAGATATCCAGTTTGTTGCCTACAGTATACAAATTATTACGTCTATGGAATGTCCCCATAAAACATGGCAACGAGTGTGTATGTGTGTGTGTAAATATCGTATAGCACTTTTAACATCATTTTGTTAATGCATGAAAAAGATGTGAAAATTCGTTGAAGCAGGTTAAAGTATTTAAAATTTTTATATTCTATTGTCCACTGCATTAAAAGAATTACAACATATAATTTGTTCAAATGTAGTGCTGTCAAATCGATTAATCATGTAGGCTATATCTTAAATATAGGCCTAGGCTACATGTAGACTGTGTGCATGTGTGTGTGTGTGTGTGTGTGTGTGTTTTTATAGCCTACACACACACACACACACATATATACACGTATATAGAGGCCTATATCAACACGTGTTTTAGTGATTTGTATTTTATTTATTTATTTTTGTAGACTGATGGATCTTGAACATATATATTTTTTTATATTTTAACAAGGCTACTTCTCATTAGCTTTAGGGGCATGTTATCATGTTATGTTTTAAATGTTATAAATGTAGGCTATAATTATTTAAACAGTGGTTTGATAGTTTTACTTTTTTACTGTTCGTTGAATGGTTTGTGTCTCGTATTTATTTTGACTGTTTATTCATTCTTGTTTTCACACACACATTATGTAAACACAAACTTTTATTTTGGATGCGATTAGCCGCGATTAATCGATTTGACAGTTGACAGCACTTTTGAAATATAAACATATTTAAATGTTATTGTAGATCTGGAAGGAAACGTGCTGCTGGCCGACTGTCACACAACGCCCCCGTCTGGATGGTAAAGTAATAACGATATCTAACGAACAATACATTGGGATCCAAAACACCTCACTGGGCATCTGGCATGCATGATCTAAATCTGCAGTGAAAGTTTTAGAATTTTCAATAGATCTAAAAAAGAGGGCAGTTATGATGACTATTCCTAGGTCACTAATAAAAATAAGTATATTATTCACTTTGTACGAACTTGTGGAGCTCATGCTGCTTGAGTGTTTCTGTCAAAACAGATGATCACATCTAATCCATTCTGAAATTAGATCATTTTAAAAATTAAACTTTTAATTCATATTGTTATGCTGATTATATGATCTGTGATTGAAAAAACTGCATTAAATTAGAAAATAGAAGCATTCTCATTAATGTTCTCAGACATTTGCATCCCACTAAACATTATGCCATTACGTGTGACAGATGTCTAATGTCAAATACATGATTTAGCATCTATATTTGAAATTTGTTTATGAAATGTAAATAACTGCTAGTTTTTGAATTTTTTTAAAAAATCTTAATGTTTGAGAAAACTGTTGAATGAAAACCGTTGCATGATTTTCTTCAACAGCAGGTGGAGATAAAAGTCCATGAATCCACTGAACAGCATGCGAACTCATTCCTTCTGTATTCAGAAAGGAAGCACACAGCCAGAAATTACCACGATTATTTCTCATGCATCTCATGGTTAAATATTATTTTTTTGTATTTTGCCGTTCAAACTCTAAAATCTAAATGCACAGTTGTTTCTGACCCATTCAGATTATATGCCACCTTTTTTTTTTTTTTTTTTTTTTTTTTTTAAATTGTAACTTTAACATCTTTTAATTTTTT